CAGCAGGTTGACAGGCTTTGTTTCAAGGAGAGAAAAAGCACAGACTAACTGCCCCCCTCAGGTTCCCCTGGGGCACCTTCTGTGGTAGCTGTTGAAGCAGGGCTGGGTTTCCATCCAGAACAGCCCACCCTGCAGGGGAGTCCTGGTAGGTGTCCTGGCCAGCCTGCTCTTCTGGGGGCAGTAAAGAAAGGGACAGAAAGTTTCAGGTTAGTGGAGTTGATTTATCAGAAGGTGAGGAAGCAGCATCTCAGAAGCTCTAGGAACATCTGGATTCATTTCTGCCCCAAGGAGAACCTTCTCGAGGGCTCTGGGGTCCAAGTTGGGGTAAATCGTGTTGAGTGACAATCTTGTGTCACTATGTGAGTTCAGTGGCATTTCCTGGAGCCTCAGTGTCCTTATGTGTAAAAGGAGACAATAGGATCCCTGCTCACTTAGGGTTGGGAGGTCCTAGGGTAAAATATTCAGCCTTTGACAGCATAAGCCCTTGCTTGAGGGTTTCTGGTTTATGACAGTAATGACAATCTCATCTTCGTGTAATACTGATATTTCTGATGGAACCCAGATGTGTTCAGAAGATAAATGTGTCTGTCCATCCTGTTATCAATCCAGGGCCACTTAGCTTATGGGCTTACACAGGTGAGTAGGGGGCTTCAGATGCCATGGGAGACCCCACTGGGTCTTCCATTCAGTTTAACCTGAGCCCCTTGTACCTTCCTGTTGGTGTAAGTTCCATGAGTGCTCACACCAAAAGTCTTCAAATGCTGCCACATCTCAAGACAAAGCCAGATTTGGGAGCAAAAAGGACAGTGCATGGATAAGGTGCCCAGCCCTCTAGGAAAGTCCTTCTGCAGGTCAGGCTAATACAAAGTCAGGAGCAGCTCGACCATTGGTTCCTGAAGAGCCCCCCAGGAAAAGTCTCCTGAAGGGGAACCATGCAGCTTCTAAGTGGCCAAGTCAGTCTCAATGCCTTCACCCTCCCATCCCTCCCTCCCCTGTCATCTTTGTTATTTCACACAAACACACGCACACACACACACACACACACACACACACACACACACACCCTTTCTCTCCTATTAGTTCACTGCATGCTCTGTGGCTGGTGGTTTGCTTCTGTCTGAAGAAAGATGCAACAATCACCCCGGGAGCCTGGAGAAGCCTGGCATTGCCTCCAGGGGTGCTTCTACCTCCCATATAAGTGCCCCGCCCAGGGGCAGGCATTGAGGGGCTTATTTCCCAGACTTCTGTGTATTTTTTTCTGTGTGTGTGGAGACAAACCTATTCTATGTAGCTCTACCTGAGAGAATAGGAGAAAAAAAATTGCTCCTTTCTGTTCCACAGTATCTCCAGGGTAGCGGCATGTGTTGGCCTAGCAGCCCTGGGCTTCGGGTCAGGCCATCTGCCCTGCTTTATCCTGCACACCCCTCTGAGCCCTTCACAGCCGCCCCCCATTTTCAGGAGGACTTGGGGATATAAACACTGGGCCCCAGGTCCCACGGCCAGTCCCAGGCCAGCTGGGGTCTGAGCTCTTCTTTCTCCTGTTCTCCCAAAGGCCAGGGCAGTAGTTAGGTTCCCTAGGCAGAAGTTGACAGAAAAAAGGGATAAGAAAGAGGCAAATGGTACCTCAAAGTTCAGTTTCTCTGGAAAAGAGAGAAATCTGGGTTTCAGATGAACGTTTCCTTTTGTAATGTTTAAAAAAGGCATGTTGAGGAAAAACCCAGCACAGGTCCAAGGAGGTACTCCTGTGGACCGTGGCCTTCTCCTTGCTGAAGCTGTGAGTGTGCTCTTCCTGCAGMSCAGTGCTGCAGCAGGAAGGAGCAGAAGGGGACCCCGGTGACACTGAGGGAGCAGCAGCCGCCCCCTCACTGCACGGGCTTTGGCCGYGCTGGCCTAGTGGAAAGTGCATGGGGCCCTTTGGCTGTGTGAYGCTCCAGGCCTTGGGGCCACAGGGCCCAGCGGATTCTGTCTACTGGCTGCCTCTTATCTGTGGGTCTGGCTGCCAGAGTCCTGTGTTGTTTGCCATCTGGAGCGTGAATCCACACTAACTTGACGCGTGCCACCTCGGCGTGGTGCCTGCTCTGGGAGACACGTGCCCTGCTGTCATTCCTTGGCTTCTGTTATTATTTTATTAGGGTGAGTGCCCAAGAGGTTGTAGTTCACAGCCTGAATTCTCATAACCTCCAGCTGTCCCATCCAAGGACCTATTGTCCCTTTCACATCAGAAGCTTCCAGAATTAGTTCCAGTTGCTTGAATTGGTTCAATTGAATTAGTTCAATTGTTTGTTACCTGGTTCTGAAGTTTCTTGAACACCCTCTTTTCCAAGGTAGGGAGAGTTGTTTGGTCTAGAGTTCCCCAGAGAGGGCATGGCTAGGCAGAAGACCCAGTAGGTCAGTTTGTGTGCCCAGCACCCCTGAGGATGATCTCAGAGCCCACTGGCCTTCATAGTGTTCAGCCCAGGGCCTGATGCTGTGGGCCAAAGCAGGACCCTGAGCAGGCTCCTGCCTGTACCCTTCCACAGGGACCCCTGAGCCCTTCAATAGAGCCTGCGTGTTTATTTAATGCATAAAAAAAAAGAGAGAGAGAGAGAGAGAAAAGACACACAGGAGTAAGTGGATGTGGCTGCCAAAGTTAAATGATGAGTTTGGAGGAATGCCTGCCCTGCAGGGGCTCTGACACCCCACCGCTCTTCCCCTCTTCCTGGGGCTCTCCGCAGCACTGAGTGCTGATGTGCCTGGCACATCCTGCAGGGTCCAAAGGGCTGTGATGCCCTAAGTCACGGGGGGTGGGAGTGGGGTCCAAACTGAAGGGAGTTTGTGGTCTCCCCTCGCACACCCTGTTCTGGTTGTCAAGGYCGTGACTGTGGAGACAGTTAGGATAGCGTAGGACAACTGTTGACTGTTAACCAGAGAGCCGGTAAGGATGCGCACCATCTGGACGCACAGGTGGGCACACCTGGCCACACGTGGTAACAGGGCCCCTGAAGAACTCCTGTCTTCTGGTCCTTGCAGCTGGGCTTCTGCTGTGGGGTCTGGGTTCTGCTGGTCTGCTATTTTGGACACATGTTCCCAGTGACCCTTACCCGTTCCAGCCTCAGTTCTGCTTGTCCGTCTCTCTCTATATCTCCTCTGCCAGGTGATGACGCCGCCCAGGGCCTGGCCTGCAAGTGTTATATTTATGTTTTGTTTTGTTTTTTTTTTCTTTTAGCTCGTTACAATATTATTTCTGAGGTTGAAATTGCTTGAGGTAAGTTTGATGCTTTCATGTAAAATAATTTATAGTACTATAGTTTTTTAATTTTTTTAGATTATTAAAACATAGATCATCTTAAGTGGAAAATCTAGGTCAATGTATGGGTTAGACAGTTTGATTTTGCATATATATGTATATGTTTATTATAATGACTTTACATGACTGTGTCATATATGGTCCTGTGTATGTATGTATACAAACAAAAACAGACATGATGGTTGTATTTATCATAATAAGAATTTTTTCTTATAGTAAAAATAAATTCCTAGGTATTTATGCACTAACCATGTATCTTGTTCTTTAGACATGTTTATATTTTAAATATAAAAATATTTTATATTGTTTTACAACAAACATTTCTGTGATCATTTGGTTTTAAAAAAAAATAATTCAGAAACTAAAATGATGGGTCAGGACAAATAAGGTTGGACAGGACAATGGCCTCTAGAACCAGTTGTCCCTGGAGTCTTGTAGGAATCATTTAGGATGATGTGTTCATGGTTTCTTGGCCAGGGCAAAGCCAGATTCTGAAATTTTGTCTGACCTTTGTTTCAGCATCAAGACACACAACGTGGAAGGAATGAGACTGTTGGTAAATCTGGGTCTGTGAGAACTTTGCAAATTCAAGAGGAGCAGCTCTGGTGGCAACACAGTGACTCAAGGGGACTTCTTGGTCTCTGGGTAGAGCTTTGTTAGGAATGAACACAGTCACGTTCCTAGTCCATGTGTCCATCACTATTCAAGGATAATCTTCCCTCCTGTTTATTATTTTTTTTAATACTGAATTTCTATTTAGATACCATACCATATGGGTTTGGACACATTTCTGGGTCAAACAGTCCATCCGATATTAATACTGAGATTCTAATTTACTCACGTAGGTAGAGTGTGCTGGACACATACAGTTTACAGAAAATGTGTATTTTGTGTATAGTAGATTGTATATACACCTTTAACACAGCTAGGGTTTTTTAAAACAAATGAGTATTGTAAGGGTTTTCTTCTAAATGAGCTTACTATCGGGTCAGTGTTGATTTATTGGTGCTGTTGAAAATAATCCATTTTCACTAAAAGTATGTGAAACCTACAGCATGTCCTTCACCTAGGATTTGCATTCACTTTGTCAATGATTGGTCACGGTGTTTGGGAACAGAATACAAAAGCAGTCCCAGAGTACCCCCACTCTATTAATAACAAGTTCAAAACAGAGAGATCTTGAGAGAAGGAATGCTGTTTGGCCGAAGGTGGAGCTGTTTGAACAGAGGCCAAGTGCAGTGTACACTTAATCTTCTGATTCAGGATGAGAATCATCTGGATGTCATCTGATTGTTGTGAGAGGGGACTCTGAAGCGAAACAGGGGACGACCCTGTCATGGTTCTTAGATTTTTGGTGTCCAACATGAATAAGGCCTTCATGCTTGGTCCTTAGAAATATATGAAAGCATGAGTCAGTATCTGTTTGTTTTGGGTTACTCACATTGTCTTTGCCTTTTTCAAAAGTGATCGGCAATGAAATACTGTCAAACCAAAGTAGCAGTGATGTCATGCATGACATTCAAGATGTGGGCTTTGTACCAGGTCTTTTGAGTGAAGATCACTGTCCTGATTTATTTCAATAAAAAGGGGCTTGGAAATTGTGGTCCGTGTGTTCCTTCCTTGAGTATAACCAGACACTGTCAAATTCCAGGCGATAAAACGTGGCCTGGGGTTGTCTGTTTAATCCACTACTTTCCCATCCCCCATGTGCCCACAGTACAGAGAGAATGCACCCCATTTCCCCAAAGTCAGCTGCCTTTCAGGTCCTCGGTTTTACAGATCTAAAATGACTATTTCTTAGATAACCGACTAAGCGGCAATATCCACATTCAGATCACTCACAACTATACATACACTCCTAAATATCTGTGTGCACAAATGGGATTTTTATTAAACTATGCACAAGAGGCCAGATAGTGGAGAGTTCTTTCAGAGGAAATCGTCCCTTGTTTTCTTAAAACCTAATTTTTATATCCCACATTAAAAAGTTTCAGTTATTTAAACAACTGATTGTAATACGCCAAAGCTCAAGTCTTACACCTTTCATCATGTGCTTTTCAGTACCTTCTACTGCCAAATGCACTAGTGGTGGGATCTGGTCCTAAAGATCCCATCTTTTCCTCAGCCCCAGAAACACCCTCTCATTTTCTCTCTCCTTCTCCCCTTTGCAAATAATTTTCATGAAAGAATTCCCAGTGCATCTCTAATCACCTGCTCACCTCCGTTGGCTCAGCTGCTGTGAAATGGCTTCTATCCCACACTCCATTCCTGGGAGAGGACTTTGTGGACCACTGGTAAAGATACCAACATCTTTTGAGGCTCCCAAAGGAACCCTCTGTCTTCCTGGGCTTTACTCTGTTCTCCATGCGCTCATCATCTTTCCTGTCCTTAAATTTAGTTGGTGTTCCCAGATTTTCTCCTGGTCCACCCCTCCCTGTCTCCCTGGACAATTTTATCCACCCTCACGGTTCACCTGCCTCTCCTGGTCCTCATGATGCTCATCCCTGGTCACTGTAGAACAGCCACAGGTCCACGGCACATCTCCACCTGATATGCCTTAAGCCACAGGTCCACAGTCTTTCCCTGTGAAGGGACAAGTAGTCACTGTGTTGGGCTTCCTGGGCCACGTGGTCTGCATGGAGCTCTCATACACAGACATGGTCCATCAACAATCTGTGAGTGGACCTGGCTGAGTTCTAAAAAAGTGTTCCAAAGCCAAGCCATAGGCCTCTGACCCCTGCTTTAAACCACTACCCTTTCCTCCGCTTTCTGACTCCTGCTCTTCCTTGACTTGTTTCACCCTCACTGCCCTTGAGCCAGAGTTGACCAAGTCTGCTGTCTCTCTCCCTTCCTCCCACCCTTGCTCACCAAGGCTTGTTCTCTGTTCCTTCGGCGTCTCTCTTCTTGCTATGTTCATAGTATCTCTTGGTTAGTGTGACGTTCTCCCCTTTAGGCTTCCAGCCCCCTGAGTTTGGCTGGACTTAAGGGGGGTGCCTGGGTGGGGACTACATTTCCCAGCCTCCTTTGCAATTCAGCGAGTTCAGTTTTGGGTTAGGTTGGTGGCAAGTGAATCAAGTATCAAACAAAGATGCTTATGCTGGACTTGTTTCACTGCAAATGGCCACACTGGTCAGATCTTAGAAGTCAGGAGTTATATTTGAAGAACTGCCTGGCATAAACCTGAAAGATCAGTTTATGAGTGAAGGGGGCCTTTTGTTATAGCAGCTCACCTGCACTACTTCCCCAGGGACTGCACTCGCTTGCCTGCTGCTCTCCCTCTGTACAGCTTTGCGCCAGTGCCTGTCCTTTCTTAATATGCAATTGTATCATCTCATGATGCAAATCTGATCCTGCATTCCCCACCTAAAGATGGAAAATCAAAAAGGACAGGAGTCTTTGCTTTTCAGAGGATTAAGGCAGGATGAAGTGATGGAGTTACAGAAGAGCTTCTCAACATTGGATGGTCAGGAACTTCAGCTACGAAGGTTGCAGGCAGAAAGGAGCCAGCCAGGCAGTAATCAGTGGAAACAGGTTTTCAGGCAATGGGCACACGTAGTAGTGCTGAGGCCTTCAGGCCTGCCGTGTTACAAGAGGCAAGAGGGAGAAGAGCACAAGTGAGCTTTTTTCTAGTAAGTTCCCACTGCAGGGACAAATCAAAGTCCTTAAGAATCTGGAAGAGACGGGTCATAACAGGGCAGCTGGAAGTGATGCTCTGCCTAATACCACCGTGGACGGGTCAAGTGAACACCTGCCCTTGTCTGTGGACGGGGCACAGTCTGGCTTGGAGCACCATGCATGCCAAGGTTCCCAGATGTGGGTAAGGGTAAGGGCCACATACCAACCATGCCAGCTGTGGACACCAGATGGCAGCAGAGGATGGACCAACATGATCTATTTGCCAGACAAAGGCAGGGGCTAGCCCTAGTGCTAAGGATCCTTGCTCACCATCAGGGGGACATATCAACTCTGAGAGGTGCTACCGTGCTAGCAGGCTATTTCAGTCTATATAGTACACAATGGAGGCCCAATTTTGAACCCTTTGTGTTAGTGGCAGAGTCGCTGTTGTCAGACCGGGGGCAGTGACGCTGGCCCAGGGCTGCATAGACCAGTCATTTAATCTTATCTGGACAGCTACTTGCTCCATGGGCATCCTTAAGGGGTATACAAAAATATCTCACCAGGCTGCACCAGAGCTTGTCCTTAGCTTGCAGCCACGCAGTGGGAATAATTGGATCCTGGTGAAGCAGGAAACGAAGGGGGGGGGGCCACCAGACTGTCAAAGGCAAGGTAAGTGGGATTACTGCAATGGCCAGCAGAGACAGAGCAGCAACCACGTCTGGCTTGTACAGATAGATCTAGGGTGCTGCCTACTTCATCCCAGTGCTCCTAGAGGGGAAACCTACTAAGTTCTCACTTGATCAGTACAAGCAAATAACTTCCAGGTCAAGTGAACAAGAGTCTCACTTGAATCGTAAAACAGAACTATGGCTCCTCCACCAATCCYCAGATTTAAGCCAATCTGCAAATCAGAGCCCCTTGAATGAAGGAGATGCTGGGTCATCACTACTGAAAATTTATATTATTTATCTTTAGTTCATCCATTCCCAAAGGGACCCACCCAGGCTTTTCCCACGGTAACTGTGCATCTGGAAAAAGGAAATAATCATTTCTTTCAGGGACTATCAGACACTGGCTCTGAATCGACAATGATTCCAGAAGACTCAAAATGTCACTGTGGCTCACCAAGGACTGGTGAAGTAGAGGTCAGGTGACCCATGGAGTTTTAATCAAGTCTGACTCACAGTGATTCCTGAAGTTCTSTGAACCATCCTGTGTTCATGTCTCCAGTTCCAGAATTATAACTAGGATGTAGAGACTGAATTGGCAGAATCCTTCCATTGGTTCTCTGACCTGCAGGGTGAGAGTTATTATGGTAGGAAAGTCCTAATGCAAACCACTTGGAAAACAGCACATCAAAAGCAATACCACTTCCTGGAGGGACTGCACAGATTGACGCCACCACTAAGAACTTGAAAGGTACACCAGTGGTAGTTCCTACCACATTCCCGTTCAACTCTCGTGTCTGGTCTGTGCAGAAGACACATACATCAGAGAGGATAGTGATTGCCTTCYGTTTAACCAGGTGGTGACTCATCGCAGCTGCTGAGCTAGATATGGTTTCATTGCTGGAGAAAATTACCACATCTCCTGGCAGCTACTGCTCTGGCAATGCCTTTTTCTCCATCTCCATCCATAGGACTCACCAGAGCAGTTTGCAATACACCTTCACYGTCCTACCCCAGGGTACATCAACTCCCTAGCCCGGTGTCACAACTTAATTCACAGGGAGTTTTGATCACTGTTTTCCTTCCACACAAAATCCCTCTGGTCCATTACACTGCCACACCACGCTGACTGACCCAGCAGRCACACAGGAGTGACTGCCCAGGATGTACTGGTAAGACACTGGCATGTTAGAGGGTGGGAAATACATCTGAAAAAAACTCAGGGGCCTTTTACCTCAGCAAAAGTTCTAGGGCTCTGGTAGGCAAGACAAGGTAAGAACTAAGGATAAGGTACTGCATCTGGCCCCTCCTACAACCAAGAAAGAGGTGCCGTGCTTGGTGAGCCTATTTGGATTTGGAGTGTTACTACCATTTTCATTCAGGCATGTCACTCCAGCCCATCTATCGAGTGACCTGAAAATATTCTTTGTGTGAGGCTCAGAGCAGGAGAAGGATCTGCAGCAAATAGGTCCAGACTGCCCTTCCCATTGTTCTGGCACTTGAGCTAAATGATGCAGCAGATACAACCTTCAGTGGTTGAGAGAGATACTGCTTAGAGCTCTTGGGTTTTATAGTGGAAGCCCTTAGAATTTTGGGGCAAGACCCTGCTATCATCTACAGATAACTGGACTCCTTTTGAGAGAGCTCTTGGCCTGTTACTGGGCCTTGGTAGAGACCGAGTGCTTGAGCATCGTCCACCAGGCTGCCTTGGGACCGGAGCTAACCACGATGAACCTGGTGTTACCTGGTGCCGCACTGGAGTCACAAATGCTTCTCATACCTGGAAAAGAGGCTTGCAATCAATGTGGGAATATGGAACCCTAAACGAGCAGGTTCCTACCTTTGGCAACATGTCATAAAAGTTGGGTAGTATAAGCTTAAATCCAAGACAAATTAATTTGTTGAAATCATTCAGATAATTGTATTTTTTTTTTAAGATTGAAAAAGGTGGCTGATTCCTTTTCTGATTTTAGACCATTTGAACTTGAAAGAAGAGGGGGGCCTGTGAGTCCATCAAACCTGGCCCCCTGTTGGCTGCAGTCAGATTCTCTGTCCCTCCCCCTCCGTCACACCCAGGGGACATGGTCAAGCGGCAGGGCTTGGTTCTTCCATGTTTGAAAAGGTGCRTAGGTTCTCAGGCCCTAACCTCGATGAAGCTGGTGATGGTTTTGCTGTTACCTGTGCCTTGTCCCAGAGGGGGATTTCTATTCCCTTGTCATTTAAGCATTGCAACCTGTATTGCCTAAGGATACCCGAGCAAGGCCTGKCTTGGGGTGGAAAGATCAG